TACTTCCCCGAAAAGTCGATAATCTACTTTCGATAAGTAGAAAATCTATCTTTTCGAAGTGAATAACAACTTTCGGAAGTAGATATTTCCCATTTTTATGATACAAATTTCCCGTTTTCTATTTTAATCTACTTCGCAAAATTAGGTAATATTTCCCCGAAAATTCGAAAATCTACTTCCCCGAAAAGTCGATAATCTACTTTCCCGAAAAGTAGAAAATCTATCTATTTTCCGGGAAAGTAGATAACCAACTTTCCCGGAAAGTAGATATTTCCCTTTTTTATGATACAAATTTCCCGTTTTCTATGATAATCTACTTCGCAAAATTAGGTAATATTTCCCCCAAAATTCGAAAATCTACTTCCTCGAAAAGTCGATAATCTACTTTCCCGAAAAGTAGAAAATGTATCTACTTTTCGGGAAAGTAGATAACTAACTTTCCCGGAAAGTAGATATTTCCCATTTTTTATGATACAAATTTCCCGTTTTCTATGATAATCTACTTCGCAAAATTAGGTAATATTTCCCCCAAAATTCGAAAATTTACTTCCCCGAAAAGTCGATAATCTACTTTCCGAAAAGTAGAAAATCTTTTTCGGCAGAGATAATCATCTCTTTCCCGGAAAGTAGATATTTCCCATTTTTTATGATACAAATTTCCCGTTTTCTATGATAATCTACTTCGCAAAATTAGGTAACATTTCCCCCAAAATTCGAAAATCTACTTCCCCGAAAAGTCGAAAATCTACTTTCCCGAAAAAAAGAAAATCTATCTACTTTTCGGGAAAGTAGATAACCAACTTTCCCGGAAAGTAGATATTTCCCGTTTTTTATGATACAAATTTCCCGTTTTCTATGATAATCTACTTCGCAAAATTAGGTAATATTTCCCCCAAAATTCCAAAATCTACTCCTAACATGAACCAATAGGGCACTGCTAAGGTGTTGTTTGATTCTGAGCTGCAGTGTTTTTCCTGTCTGTCCTACATAATTACAATTACATTTGCTATTACACTTGCTATTTCTTATTGACATATTGGCAATGGTTGAGTCATACATGAAAACAACATTAATATTTAGCGAGGGCCGCCAGGCAGGCGGAGGTGGTGTTGCTTGCTGCGGCTGTAGCTAGAAGAAGAGAGTGGTCACCACGAGGTCAGGTCTTATATAGCGGAGGTAGGCGTGGCTTAATAGTTGACCTCGTAGACCACGAGGCATACACTGGGGAATTCGCAGGGTCGGCTACTCGGCGACAAACAGCGTTTGTAGGGGAGGTATCCACTACAACCTCCCAGAAGTATTAATATTTATTGTAATACCTATTATATTTACAGTACCTGCTTTTATTGTACCATCAAAACCGTTTTATCGGAAATTATCATGTAAATAGATAAGAAATTACCATTGAAATAAACATGTTTGCCAACTAGACATAATCCTGACAGCTCAGTCCTCTTGTTCAACCTTAATACTGTACAACCCATGTTGTACTGCTCCCCCATTATACTTATGTTTTCAATTCCATTGTAATTTATGTATATGCTTATAATATAAATAAATAAATAAATAATAAATAAATAAAATAAATAAATATTGAAGTGATAACCGTGGTAACATTATGAGATGTTCTTATTACCAACATGCTATTGCACTATTCCAGATGATATTAAATGTTACATAATACTTCCTTGAAATAAATGTACAGTATATATCAGGTGCCTAAAAGAGAGCTCAGGTTCTCAACTGGCTCAGCCATGTTAATATTGTTATTATTAACCACTCTGTATTTGTGTATTTTTTCTGGCTAAATAAACTGTTTCAATTCAATTTCATTCAATTAATGTAACCTAACTAATTCCCTGGATGACCTAAACTAAAATACCTTATGAAAATAATCATCAAAACAAATAACACATCGGAAGGTTATTCATAAATATTAGTCCACAAAATGGAAAAAATAAAACATATCAAGAATGAGAAACGATATATGTATGTACATGTTGTGTTGTCAAAATAAGAGAAACAATTGAAACCCTGCAATTGTGTGTAATTGAGGCAGAAAGTCAGATCAATGACCTGGCACTTGGTCACATATGGCAGCAGGGTCTACCATTAGACAATGCATTATATGCTTCCAATATCTTCCCAGGCGGTAGTGCCACCCTGTTTGGTAGGTACCTACTACCTATAAATGAGGCCAAAATACCCACAAAAGAACTCACTGCCCCATTAAACTATAACAAATATAAGCTATTTTACAATCACTTTTATAACGTGATACCTGTCCCTAATACCATGAAGTTGATAAGCTTCCTTGACACGGGAGTTTCTTTACAATTGGAGTCTGACACTGACGACCTGCACTGTAGTGGATTTGTTACTTGTACACAGGTAGTTAAAGTTAGATGAATATGTGGTAAGAACGTAGTACATTAATATGTTATATTTTAATACATATTGTATCATATTGAAACTCTTCAATACTGTCTAGAAATTTGTAATTAAAAGAATGAAGATCTGTACATGTAGACATCGAGAACACACCTATAGTTAAATAAGTAGCCTAGTCCAGCTAATATATTAAATAAAACTGTACTCGTATATAAGATCTCTACTTTTATCACGTGTTAGTTTTTTATAATAAAATTAACGCTGTTATTGAAAAGTTTAAGTTCACATTCCTCTAAAAGAAAGAGGACAATAGCAAATTGTTATTTATGCAGATTGTAGAAGAATTTGTTTCCCTAAACGTCACTGCAACTGTCTTAGCCAATCACCGCTCGAGCACTTGAGGCTTGTTTTTCCTGGCAGCCAATCAGAGCGCGGGAGACTGTCAACACATTTTCCTCTTGTCATCTGTAATTGGTCGTGTTTGATGTAAAGTAAGTAGTCATTAATAAGATTTGAAGAACAGATATTTGCGTTAGTTCATGAGAAATAAGTGAGTCTTAGCCGAGTTGTTTTATTTACACGACCTTGTTACTAAAATGTTGACTAACTTCTCCTACACGGATATCTAACCTTGACTTAATATAACTTACATTATAAACCTTGAATATTGTAGTTATCATTAATATTATCTAAACTATTTTTCACTAACATGGAAGCAATGAAGGAGAATGAATTTCGTAAACTATTGTAAGTTCTGCGTGGCCTTGGAAAAGTTAACCTAAGCTAGCCTAATGTGTGTGTGTGTGTGTTTTGAATGACTGATTGTTTTATGGTAGAGTGGTTTAAAAAATATATTTATTGTCTTTTAATGTTGAGAAGCATATGGCTTTTGTTAAGACAATAGAATTATGCTGTCATAAGTCCTGTACAAGTTGGGAGTACAGGTAGTCTGAGAAGAATTTATTGTACATTATGCAGTTATGTTATACTTAGCCTTCAGTCTTTCGTTTTCTTACCTATTAATTTAATCTGGCAAGTGTCTTAAGAACAGAGTAAATAATTGTATAGTATTACCAAGTTAGTATTGTAAATGACTAGGCTGTACACTATTGCTAATTCTTAATAGGGTGATTAGGTTAGGTTTGATTGGGTTAGGATTAAGGTGTGTATTCAATGGGTAAATTATGTAGGATTTCCTATTCTTCGTGAGATCCATTAGGTTATGTTAGGCTAAGTTAGACATTGTTTGGTTAGGCTAGGTTAGGTCATGGTTAGGCTATGATTAGGTTATGATTAGTTTAAACTAGGTTAGACATTTTTATGTTAGGCTAAGTTAGGTTAGACATTGTCAGGGTAGGTTAGGTTAGAGAAACACTAAATGTTCCATGGAATACCCGACACTAACCTCTGAATCAGCAGACAGGCAGAGTGTGAGGCAGTCTTCTCACACCTCCTAGCAACAGTTGCCAGGCTGTACTACCACCCTAGCAATGAGGCACATACCTGCCATAGCAGACAAAATTGGGGTGAGATAAGAGCAGTAAGAGATACTTGCAAATTAAAAAAATTGACGGGAGCGTGGTACACCATTAACATGAAAATAAAATCAGGGGTTCAGTAAACAAGGCGGAAGGTGTGCGGGAACCCGGGAAATGAGAAATTTCCACTTCTTGGACATTTTGTCCTGACCAGCAGTGGTGCCAGACCAGTGATTGCCAGATAATCAATGGTCAACCTATACTGTCTCAGGGTGTCAAAAGGAAAGGGCAAGTGACCCCATCTTTCCCATGAAAAAGAACTTCTTTTAGTGGCATTTAGGTTGCCTTATTTTTTATTACATATAGCCTGTATGCAGTATTCCTCTATAAATTTATGAGGCCAAAACGTTTATTTTCTGGCATTTTGGATCACATGAAGATTAGCCCAGCTTATTTCACTTGATGATTCAACACTAATCCTACTTGGGAGGTTAGGTTAGCTCCAGGGTAGTTTATCTTTAGGTGAATGAAGCTGAGGCTAATCTTCTTGTTACTCGTTATTTAACTTTAATGATTTTCATTTTATTTTTTAAGCCATTTTTATTTTTTCAGCAATTTTGAATTTTGATCAGATTACACGAGTTGGTGAATTTAGTGAATGTTAATTACACAGACCAATCTTGATCACACTTCTGGAGTAATTTACCTCAGCGATGTAACGTTGGTCTTGATTAGAAGATGAGTGAATGTGAGAAGGTAATAAGATTAATGTGGATGTAGTATAGACAGAGGACACAGCGGTAGAGAGAGTGAGGTTTGAGGGTAGAGGGAGAGTTTAGAAAAGCTTTGAGGATTTTCATTGGTAAACTGAACATCATCCAAAGAATCACCAACAGATTACCTGAAGATATGATAATAAGATGTACAGGTAGTAGAAGAGGAGATGTAAATCTTTTTTTGTTTTTCTCACAACAGAAGTGTGCTGAAGTGACTGGATAATGAGAAGGCCATTCGAGTATCTTTTCATCTTGAAGGCTAGATAAGTTGTACGAGTCAACACAGATTGAGAAGACTATTAGAAATATACTCGCACATCTGTAGAGCCACAAAATAACTCAAGACTAAAATTTGAACAGCACTGTGGACAGGTACAAAGGGCATGATGTCAGCAATGCCAGTTGTAACTCTTGAACTGAATGCAAATTAGTGTGAGGGTATACTTAGAAGCCACTTACAACTCAGGAAATGGAATTGACCCTTAAACAGCTGTCATTATCAGTGGAAGTCAAATGTAGGGATGTTCCTTGCATTCCATTTTTGCTCATATAGGGATTAGAGTTTGCAATCCTTAGGGGACTAATACTGTACCATTTTTTCAGATATAGTCATTCATCATACCATAGAGATAGTTTAGTACTGCAGTTGGAATAACATTTAAAACTGATTGATATACAGTAGATCAGGACTGCTATTTTACACACCAGATTGAGGAGTTTTTTAATTTTACTATTAGTTCTAATAAGGAATGCAATACTGTAAAGAGAAACACATACTACCTGATGTGAAAATTGCTTTGTACAATTTAGATATAAAGGTACAGTACAGTTATTTGAAGCATCAAAAGTGTGCAGTATTGACAAATTTTGGAAATGTAATAAATGTTAAGTGGTGTTTGACAGTGAGTGTGACTTCAAGAAACATTTAACATATAATAGAAGAGGCAACATGAATGAATCATATAATTTTGAGTGTTCTGTCTGTGGTCAGGAGTTTAAAGAAGATCTTTTGAAGAATCATTTACTCTACCACATAAAAGAAAGAGCCAAGCCCAGCACTGATGAGGAAGAGAATTCTAAGGAACAGAATCGGATCCTTGTTAAAAAGTGTGAATCTTTTGATGACAAGCTATTTGAGTGTTTGACATGTGGTGCTAAATTTAAACATAGAGGGTATTTTAAAAAGCACTTGATCCAACACACACAGAAATTAGAAGACAAGAGTGAAAAGATAAGTCAGTCACAAGAGGAATTATGTGAGGTTCCCAAACCAAATAAAATGAGAAAGTACACTTGTTCTGCTTGCTTTAAGACTTTCAGCTCCTTGGACAAATTAAGGCGCCATACATTAATTCATACTGGCCAAAATTATTTTACGTGTGACTTGTGTGGCAAAGCATTTAGCAGGAAAGATTACCTTAATTGCCATATGACTTTCTGTTTGCAAAAAAACATCAAATTTGTACAGTGTTCTGTGTGTTCTCAAGAATTTGAAAGCGAATTCCAACTTTGTAATCATATGTCTCTACATCCTCAAGAAATGAATCCTGGGCCTGGCTCTAAGCAAGAAAAGGAGGTGAAAATATTGGCCCACAAGAAGGATAAGCCCTCAGGGACTTTGGAGTGTTGTGACAAAGGTGGGAATCAAAGTCTTTTAAACTACCAAAATAGGAAATGCCAAGAAAGTGATAATGACAACCTGGAAAGTGAAAGAGATTTAATTATGACTCGAATACCTGCTCTGCCAGTGGGTAAACCAAACGGGGGAATAACTAAACAAGAAACATCTTCAAGTACTCCTCTTTCTCCTCACAAAACTGCAACACAGTCGAAGCGAAAGTTTGAAGAGTGCTTTGTCTGTGGTCGTGTTTATAAGCACCGAGGCCATTTATATCTTCATTTGAGAACACACTTCAACGAAAATAAAGATGACAATACCTGTGAATATAAGGATGATGATTCACTTGCCACATGTTCTCCGAAAGAAAAACTCAGGACACGTGTGAACCATAAAGTCTCCAGGAAAACTCGTAGGCGTCTTATGCTGAACGAATATAGATACCGTTGTCAAGAGTGCCCAAAACAGTTTAAGTTTCCAGGTGGACTGAGGAGGCACTTGATCACCCACAGCACACAGAGACCCTTCAAGTGTGATGACTGTGGAAAAACATGCAAGAGGGAAGACAATTTACGGATTCACATGATTAAATGTTATAAAAGGAGTGGAAAGTCTTTCTCATATTATAGACGTAAAGTAGATGGCTTCCGATACCTACCAGTATTGTTAAAGTGCCGTGTTTGTGACAAGAAATTCAGAAGTAGGAAATATTATAATGAACATATTGCTCTACACTCGGAAGAAAATTCTGATGAGAACCTCGGAGAAACTAAAATCAAAGTTGGAATAGATGAATGTGACCAACTGGCAGTACTTCCTAAACATGAAGTATCTAATTTTGAGGATGATACGGAAGCTAAGCCCACTGATACTTCAAGTGTAAAGGAAACAGTCCTATTCTCAAACGATAGAAAATCAAGCAACATCACTTGTAACCCTGTGGAACAATTGGATGCTTGCACTAATCAAGGTTCTCAGAAAACATTAATCTTAAAAAAAGGTAATAATGAATCTGACATACCAATGCACGATAGGAAAAAATCCTTGAAGAGCAATGACTGTGAAAAAAAACCAGACAGAAACTGGCAACAGAATCATCCTCAAGCCACATCAAGTGTTACACCACCCAATGCTTGTGCGTTTTGCGACAAGACATTCATACGTAAAGGTAATCTTGAACGTCATAGACACACCCACCACCCAGAGAAGTTACCAGAGAGTTCAGAATGTGACAAACATTTTAAAGTCAAAAGACAGAAGGGAAAACATGTTCCTCAAAACACACATGTAGACAATGATTTACAGCAAAATGTGAAAAGCCGTACAAGCAAGAGGATAGCATTATCTGTACCTCTAAAACCTATAAGTAATTCAAAGGAAAAGGAAGTGAATGGCCCAAGAATGAATACTTCAAGAAGATCTTCAGACAGTAAAGGTATTGAGATACAAAATTTTGTCACTTCATCAGATGCAGCTCCATCATCTAGCAACTATAGGAGAATCCATGCTTGTCATGAGTGTGACAAAGTGTTTAGGACAAAGGCTATTGCTATACAACATATGGTTACTCACACAAGAGAAAAATCCATGTGTTGTTCAAGAGAAAAATCCATGTGTTGTTCTGAGTGTGGAAAACGTTTAAAAAACAAACTTTCTCTGGAGCAACACATGGCTCTTCATGCAGGTTACAAATGGAAGATTTGTGTTAGATGTAAGAAGGCATTTTTGTCAAAGCCCACCAATAAACCGGCGTGTTCCAAGTGTGAAATTAAATTGCAGTTTAAAGGAAAACAGGTCAGAGGTACAAGAAAGAAACAGCTTAAGAAAAATTTTTGTAGCAAGCCTCGGACAGTACTTCTTGGAGAAGAGAAACCCAGCAAACTGAAAACTGTGGGTGAGAAGGCCGATGAGGAGAAAGTGACTCCTCGAAGAGGTTGGGAATTTGAGGGCTTTGATAATTGTAATAAAATTTTGTGTGATAGTAGCCAAATCTTTCCCTGTAAAAATGAAAGTAATGATTTAGAAAAACAAAATGTGAATCAAACAGATTTAAAGATTAAGGATGAGTCAGGTGACATAAGAGTAGAGATTTGCTTGGATTGTTCAAATGATGACATGGACGACCTTCAACCAAATCATCCTGAGAACATTTTGAACAGTTCTGACTCCAAAGAATCTCTTTCAGAAAATAATAAAGAACTCAGATTAGTTTCTCATTCCACTGATAAACGTCTGATGCCTATTAACTCTTTCCCGATGACACGTAACAGAGTGATCTCGCCATCACAAAACTCAAGAAATTTAAATACTGATACAGTTCAAACACCATCACCAACGATGAACAATTGGAAATTTAACTGTAAATCTTCACAAGTAGCAGTCAACATAGATTCTTGTAGTCCTCCACTAGTGGAAGACACTGATGAAGCAAGATTGTCAAAAGTGACGAGTAATGAAGATACTTGTGTTCAAGCATCACCACCGAGCAGTAGTCAGGCACATTGTAAACCATCCCTAGAGAAAAAAGTAGAGACTGGTTGCTCATACTCTTCTGAGGTGAACAGTATGGAGGGTTATCTTCAGTCCCCACCAGAGATGCAAAAACAGGTCTTTCCTCAAAATACACCTTGTACAATTAAAGAGAACAAATGTCAAAAATACCTATCAAAAGTCTATGGGAAGATTTCCCCTAAACTCATGCCAGTTATGAGCAACAAAACAATTTATCCAAGATGTTCCCCAGAGATAAATATTGTCAACTTATATCCAACAATATTACCCAAGACAGACCCTGTCAAGATTTGCCCACAATCCTCAACAGAAACTAACTTTACAAATACCAGAACTTGTATTTACCTAAAATTCATACCAAAGACATCTGATGTTAAAGTTAACTCTGAATCCTTGACAGACAAGATTAGTGAGAATATTGGTTCAAAGTCATCATCAGAGATGCCCAGTGTAAAGACAGGTTCAAATTTTACACGAGAAAAGATGCATGTAAAGTCTTATCCACCTATCTTACCAAAGATAAGCAATTTGAAAACGCCAGAAGGATCATCAGCTGGGATGTCAACAAGTTTTAATCCAGAATTTATTAATTTAGAGACGTTTGAAAAACCTGAGCCTGAAATGAAAAATGTGAAGTTCTTTTTTTATCGAACAAAATCCCAGACAAGGTGTAGTGATCCCAAAACATCTAGTGAATTTGTAAAAGCTCATACTAATTCTTCAGTGGCATTGACCACTTCTACGTCTTCCTCACCGTCAGAATACACAATGAATGTTCTGTCGAAGCCCTTGGTATCAGCACACACTTCAGAAATAATTAAATATGTATCACCAAGCCCCACAAAGATATCTGTTAAGTCTTCTTCAGCCAGCACCACACATGCTAATTCCATACCACAAGCCAGTTTTGCATCAACCATAGTTAACACTTCTCCAATACCCACCAGTATAAATATTTTTCCTCTCAGACTCTTTTCATCACCTAGCACTGTGAAAAGCTCTAGTAATGTCTCTTTAGCACCCAAAAATAATACAGGACATGCCAACTCTCCACAGGGAGTAAACAGTGTAAGGAGTAATGCTAAGTGCTCTCCAACTGTTTTAAGTACTACAGACACTAAAGGTATTAGCAGCTCCTGTAGCACTACAAAGACTTATTCAAACCCCTCATTAGTAATTTGTTTAAAGAGGATAGATGGTAACTCCTCAACAGAAAACATGAAGAGAATGTGCTATTTTCGATCTTTGGCAGCAGACAAGGAAATGTTTTGTGATGAGCCACCATTACAAGCAGCAAACTCACTTGGTAACTCAATTTCTGATAATACTGATCCCATGAAGGCACAAGATAGAGGAAATGTAAGAGTGTGTTATGATGCCGAGGAGGAATATGACCGAGCATTACTAGAATTGGGAAGACCAATCATGACGGAACCTTTCAGAAAACAACTAATTTGAAAGGAAACGCCCAGGCACACGAGGAAATAGAATGATTATCAAAGTTTTTTGTTCCTAATGTGAATTTGCAAGAAATGTTTCAGTTTACCTACGGAATAAATCTTTTGGTGTTTCTACAATATACATAATCATCATTAGCTATCTTCTGTGTTTATTAATCAATGACATTACTGCAGAGGATGGCAGAATATTATTTACTGACAAGATATGGACACTCCTGTTAAGTTCACATAATACTGTTGTGTTGTTATTATACCATGTAGTCTGTAAACAGTTTTGTCTTGTTTTGTTTTGGTATAAATTCCTTTGTTTCCTTTAATTCATTGATTTTATACTCTCATCTACTTATGGTTTTCAGACTTGTTTCCATTGGGGTGTACAGTACTGAGTGAAAGTTTTAATTGGCACAGAATTGAGAGAAATATTTGTAATGTCTTTTCGGCACAACACGCTCAATTTGTTTGGTGGCAGGAGTGGACGAGGTTGGAGCCAAGCTGTAGGCGGACAGTAATTAATCATTCTGTCCAAAAATGCTTTAGATTCACGAACCTGAAACTCGGGGTTCAGGGTGTGAAGTGTCAGGACTTTTGTGGGTGACTATATTACATTATGAAATGCAAGAAGATATCATGATCCTGACATAATTGTTTTGGTGTTAAAAAGAATTAACCTTTCCTTTTGATTCATTGATTTATGCTTTTCCTAATCATATTTTAGTACAGTTAACCCTCTATCCAATTCATGTAATAGCTACAGTACTTTTACCTGTACTACCTATTTTGTAATGTAACAATAGTGCACTGCAAGCAACCTTCTTAAGTCTTCAGACAATACACAATTTGGTTTCATCATTCTTTGAAAAATACTGTACGGTTTACATTCTTATACAGTAATTTAAGTTGCAACCATGAAAAAATTGGGTGATCTAAGTAGGTTCAGATAAAACTTTTGTTATTATTATTCACTTAAAACAATATAAATAGTATTAAGAAATTATAGAGAAACAAACAGAACAACAGAATATGGGGAAAAATCTTTACTTACCATAAACATAAAGTAGTAGTTCCTCTCTTCCAGCCAAATAAAGGTATACTGAGGATGCTGCTCGTGTCCACTCACTTAGACCTAAAACAAAGCGTGGGAACACCAGACGTATTTAAATGTCTCGCTTGAAAATGAGCTCGCCTGTTGACGTTGGCCACAGTTTATGAATTGTCGTAATGTGATGTACAGACCGATACAACTCGAGATTTTTCTAAAACTGCATAGGAATGTTCTGTCACTTTAGCTTTGTAGGGCTGTTTTAAACTTGAGGACTGTTTTCACTTCCACGGCTTGTGCTGGTAGACTGTTCCATAGGTCTACCACCCTCTGTGTGAAGTAGTACAGGCAATCCTCAGTACTAATGTCTGCTGCCACCAACCTTATACTTTATTAGCGTGCAGCCACCGATCAGTGAAACACAGGAATTCAGACACATTATTGTATCCATTGGACCTTTATTTAATTGCTGAAGTTATTTCATAATTACTTGTGTACTGTATTTTATTTTACAGTTACTGTATTATTATTACTTGAAATATAAATTTTTTCATTTATATTTTAATAACTGCATTTATTAATGTATTTATTTATTTATACAGTATTTATTTTTGTTTTCACATGTATTTTGGTATCAATTAATTATTTATATCTATTTTGCAAACACATTTTCAGGAACACAGCAAGTTAGTATACTGGGAACTGCCTATACTGTACATGCACTTCCTTATATTAGTCCTGTGTGATACCTTAGTGAGCCTGAAGTTGTGTTGGTGGTGTATGACATCACAAAAATTCATTTAGGTTTATGTCTTCCTTCCCTTTCATGTCACTTGACCAAACACCTTAAACAATCCATATACTGTATAACACATCCACTGGTAAACTTAATGTGAGCAAGTTTGTCAGACAAGATTTTCTCTCCATAAACCATGTTGTGGTGAATTGGAGACTGTGCTCTATTAGGTGTTGGATGATGGGTTACCTCAAATTGTTCTCAAAGAGTTTGCATATACTGTACTGTATAGTATGTGATGTTAGGCTGATTGACCTATAGTTTTCTGCTGAATTTTTTCCTAACCTTCATGTATATTGGATGACGTTAGTTCATTTCAAATCCACAGGGTCTTTTCAAAATTTGATTAGGATTATTTACATCATTGCAAAATACTGTAGTATATAATAATTTGTGTATGGTATAATTTTTTTGTTTTGTTTTGCTCCTATAATAAAGTACAGTACATCTATATTATCAATCCATTATTTTAATTTTTTTCTGCTTTCCCTATTCTGTGGGGATGACTATGAGATCTTTAATTGAATAGGTTTAGTGTTGTCTAAGCTACAAACAAGATCAGGTCACACGTAATGGTCACAGGATACTGATCACCCTTGGATGACACCAGCAGGAAACCATGAGTGATGAGCTCAGATATATAGAGACAGTGAGGGATAGTTTATCGTATCTGAGTACATGAGGGCCAAGGTATGACTGACCCTCCTCTTATCATACTACAAGTGGAACACCAATGTCCCACAAGGAAGATAGATCTGTGTCATTGAATTCCAGTTAAAAAGCAAATCATTCAAGAAGTTTTACAGTAAAGGGGACGGTGTGATTCAATTTTATTCCTTCTACACGTATTTACATTACATGCTTTCAAGATAAACTCACTCAATTATTGTTTCCGTGTACAAGTTTTTTACATGGACTCATGCCCCCCGCCTCCACCAGTTTGGGGACCATTGATATTGTACATGATGTTGAAATACAGTGAGCTACTCTTACACACAATTAGATCACCCAGGAAAAATTCATAATACCAAGAACTAGAAAAAAAACTTACTTTGATAAACACTTCAGGTCACCAAGAGAAACACAGACGTGGGCAGATATACTGAAATAAAAAATACAAATCCAGAAGTGTTAAAACAAGATAAAGGAACTGAATATGACAAGGATATCAAGACAATACTAAATTCTATAAGTTTGAAAAAGCAACTACAGTAATGGCTACAGCTAATAATGGTAGGTGGCAGGAAGTAACATGGCTACTGCCTACTCGGGTTGCCAATATAGGTGCTATAATAACCCGTGTGTTTTTTTCTACTTCTTAATAACTATACCAGTAATATATAATATGTACAATGAAAGAAAAGTCGTGTCGTGGAATTTGGTGAAAACATATGCCGAAGAGCTAAACTTTTGGTGCGCTCTGCCTTGTGGTAGGCGGTTCTCATAATGTTACACGAGTTATATTTAATCTCTGGACAAAACAGCGACACAACTTTTGTCTTTGATTGTACATAGCAAAAATGAATCTCAGATGCACAGTAATGTAGATTAATGACAAAATGGTAAATTAAAGAACACATTTTGGATTTTTCAATGAAATACTGTACAGTATGTCATAAACTTTTAATTAATTTTATACGGCAATATTTCACTGAGTGGTATATTTTAATTTAATCAGTTACAAATTATATTTAACGATCATAAAAATCCTTCACTAACATATTATGCCAAGTTTTTGACACTCCTGTACTGCTGACAACTGAGCATCTGGTCTGAATTAGCCTACACACACTCAGTTTTGTTTATACAGACATCTATTCTTGCAGCACTTGTTTTAACAGAGAGTAAACAGTCTGTGTAATGTTCAGTTTTGTTTCAGCAGACGAGTTTGACCATGTGTAGCAGGTTTAATTCCTTCTTTCTGTCTATATAATTTTAACATGTTTATTCCAAACTCATTCTGTCTATAATGTATATCTTTTAAGGAAATTTTACTGGGCAACAAAGAGGTGGCTTTACTATTTACAAAACAAAACTATTTTTAGGTCAAAAATAAGAACTGCAAATCCAACACATGTGCAATTGTGCATAGAACATTAATATGTTAGAATGACCTCCTGGGACACCCTGTATACTCCCATAAGCAGGTCATTACAAGCACTACCAAAGGATCAAATATTATACAGCTCTCATGAATTATACAATTATTTTTATGTACCCTCCATTTATGCAAGTAAATCACTGTAGGTGCACGTGATCTAGGTATATGCTGATAACCACAAGGAAAGAAGAAAACACGAAAGCACTTGGGAACTTCGTGTTTTCTTCTTTCCTTGTGGTTATCAGCATGTACCCTCCATTGCGTACCATAATCCCTATCGGTACTATATTCTAACAGCAAATTAGGGAATACCATAACATTTATTTTATTAATTATTTAAAGTTTATAGGCCTATTAGAATTTAAGTATTACGAGAATAAATTTAATACCCTGTAATAAACTTAATCCAATCCTTAACACTTCATTCATCAGCTCTTTCCTAAAGTAATTGTTAGTTCATCTCAAATATGATTCAGGAAATGCATTTGTTTGTTCTTATCAGTCGAGGGAATACTGCAATGTAAAGGTAAAATTATATTGCAGTCCTGGGGTTATAGTAATCTAATATGGTTATCATTTCTCCAAACTTTTGTAAGCTATTTATCCATTGTGGAAAGCAGAGAATCCCTCCATGAGAATTGATAATCCATTATCATCCATCACACACCCGTAGTGACTTGACTCAGGAATTTGTGATAAAGCTATGTACAATACCATGAAACTTTACTCTATTTCTAAATAAAGCATTGCTATTGGCCAATATTAACAATCTGTATATTTTCATTGGATGACAGCAGTCAAAATGTTTAAAACCCTCACTCTTTAGAGAAGAAGCAAGGGTATATCAGATAGAGCCTTATGGTCCAAGAGTAAAATGGCCACAGTTCTTTCTCTTTCAATATCACCGTCCCAAGGAGACGTTTGACTGTACATCTTTAACTCGCTCCCTGTCTTTTTTTAATTCTATCATGATAGTGACACGTGGGAATACCACCAAGAGATTCAAGTTATCTCATTTTCAGTTTCCTGTCACTATACAGTACTGTATGTGAGACCTAACTTTTTTGTTTTTATTATTTTCAATATGACTAGTACCATGACTTTGTGCATAATTATACTATACTGAATATGAAAGTTGGTATTGGGAGACTTTTTTGTTGACTGGCATTACACCACTCTCTCAACACAATGTTCCCCGCGAGATGATGCAGACACCTCTGCATTGACGAAATAGCCAGAGGGTATATGAAGGTTATCTGATATTACCGGATACACTTGTTATTCAACAACTACCCTGGCTGTCATCAGCATCAACATTTAAGTCAGTGTGAGGCACCAGTGCCAGCCAATTAGCCATCAGCATTTGTGTGTGTGACACGGGTAATCCTACACAGGCAAAAGGCTTTAAGAGTTGAAGATGGTTCGTGGACTGCGTATCTTCTTGTGGGTGGCCACACTCAGTGCTACACTCACCCCAGTCTTCTGCGCTGTTGCAATTGAATACGCCAACAACCCAGGTAAGCAAGTTACTGATCAAACAGGCTCCAGTTCTAACCTAAACCAGCCACTAAGATTGGAGCAGCATGATTAGGTTAGGTTGGGACATCTAAGACTGGTGCCCATATGACCAACTATCAGTACAGTAGGCATATTTCTGTCTATACATTACAGTAATCTCAATCTTGTTTAGACAGTGATAACAAGAGTTTTAATGTATACAATCACAAAATTGGTTTTATTGTAATAAAAAATCTGGTTATAAAATTCCAGAATCTTTGGTGTTATTTTGCCAGGTTTTGGGTTTTCAAGTTCTATAGTTGGTCAAGTGTTGAAGGAACACCTAAAATAACCACGTCCTTCTGATAGAGGAACTGGGGACCAGAGATTTTGCCTAAAATCTCAGAAGTTGTTATCGACCTGCTGATCAAGGAGCCAGGGTCCAGAGAGGTCAAGGGGTACCCCTATTTTTGGGCTGAAATATGGCTTTTGTCCAAAATCATAGAAGAGGTCATCCTCAATCTGCTCAAGGATCCTTTGGAGGATTTCTGGTCCAAAAAAGGTATTTTGTCTGTAATGCCAGCAAAAGTCATCCTCTACCTGCTGATCGAGGATCCAGCATTCAGAAAACCCTTGGAGGAATTTGGGGATGAACAAAAATTTACCAAAAATCTCATCAGATGTTGCCCTCAACCTTTTAATCAAGGATCTATGGTCCACAGATGCCAAGAGATACCCCTTGACCTGTTGATCAAGTATATAGGTCCAGAGGGTTTTCAGGCTGAAAAATGGATTTTGCCCAAAATCTTAGCAGCGGTCATCCTCAACCTTCTGATAAAGGATCCAGGATTTGGGGGCCAAAAACTATTTTTCCCATATCTCCACAGTCCAGAGATGCCATCACTGATGGGGAAATTTACTAAAATTCAGAACATAAGACCTGGTGAGTGTAACAACACTTTCTTTTTTGACTGGACCAACATGCTCACATCACACTATTAGACTAACACACCACAGGGTTTATCCCCCATTAATAGATGTTGGTGACTGCTGTGTAATAAACCAAAACAGGTTAAACTACCATATTATCAAAATGTTACCAGGTTCTCAATACCTACCCCACTAATTATACAGTATTACTGTATTATGACACGTTTAACCAATTGAGTCCATACATCATTCAGTTAGTGTGTGTCATTACATATATTTGAGTATGAGTAAGTCTAGTCGGTGTGTTTCTGCTATAGATATGCCAGGGAACTGTCTGCTAAAGGAAAGCAGAATCAGTGTGCCAAGTGGGACCACCTGGGAACTGCCTGACCAGTGTGTCAGGGTCTCCTGTGGTGGAAAAGGCAGCAACATGTATATCCGCTACACTGGGTGAGTATTTGTTGCTGTTTACTAACTTTAATCATGCTCTATTTCTCGACCTAAGTCCTTGGCTCTTTGTCAGGCATGTATGGGGTGAAGGATGAACAATACAGTACATAGGTGCAAAACATAACCATGGACACAAAGGGTGGAGCAGACAACACTTGGGGGCAACAGTGGAGCAGACAACACTTAATAAGCTATCTTTCAGTAACCTATTTTATCTATCTCTCCTGCAGGTGTGGTCTGGTGGACGCTCAATTTCCATGTTCCATAGTTCAAGACATGTCCAAGCCCCATCCAAAATGCTGCCCTGATATATTCTGCCCTAAAACAAAGAACTAATTACCCCTTAAGTAAAACTTTATCTGTAGTGTCAAAAAACCAGTGGTCAGCCTGTGTCAAATAACCAGTGGTCAGCTTGTGTCAAATAACCAGTGGTCAGCTTGTGTCAAATAACCAGTGGTCAGCCTGTGTCAAATAACCAGTGTTCAGCCTGTGTCAAATAACCAGTGGTCAGCTTGTGTCAAATAACCAGTGGTCAGCTTGTGTCAAATAACCAGTGGTCAGCCTGTGTCAAATAACCAGTGGTCAGCCTGTGTCAAATAACCAGTGTTCAGCCTGTGTCAAATAACCAGTGGTCAGCCTGTGTCAAATAACCAGTGGTCAGCCTGTGTCAAATAACCAGTGTTCAGCCTGTGTCAAATAACCAGTGGTCAGCCTGTGTCAAATAACCAGTGGTCAGCCTGTGTCAAATAACCAGTGGTCAGCCTGTGTCAAATAACCAGTCTCTATGTTTTTACTTAAGTCACCAATAAAGTTCAGTTAATTTTATATAATATTTTGACATCCTTGGACACCATATTACCAGAGTTGAGAAAAATCCATATCTTTGATTTAAAAATATATTCCCAATACAATACTTCATTCTACTGCACATGGGTCGCACACTGGGACAACACACTCTTGAAACATCCTTACTTGGACACATGATGTTGGGGCCCCATGAAAGCCAAAACTACCAATGGAGATCTATATAGGCAAGGGTTCTCCAGGACACCAAAGGTAAGAGATGAAAGTACCAGTATATATGCTTAATTGTGTGATAAAGAGATGGTCAAGATACATATAGGTTATGATTTCTAGAATGATGTGGGAGAGAAGGGATTAGAATAGTCACAAAGTTTTAGCAAAAGAGGAGAAAAATCATGATGATCTTCTACTTAACGGGACTTGTGTGGAGTAAAGATGGGAAGATGGAGAATGTTGTGACTGGAATGAAAAGATATAGGCAGTCACTTGGAGGAAGCCCAGTTTCCATATTGAACCTCACTAACCTGTCTTGTCCAACAATAACAAGCAGTCAGCATGTTACCCAGTAATGGAGTCCAAGTGCTTTTCTTATGCGTAAAGTCTGTGTTGATATTTACTCCTTAAACTGGATAGAAGACAAAGTTAAGGTTGTGACAGCCTCCATCCTCCACTCCAGAACCAAAACTCTGCATAGAAAGAGGATTTTCCTGCAGTCAAAGGCAACAATAATGAGTCACAAAGGAAACAGTACGATGCAATTCCTAGATGTCATGAAACCACACAACTTAACCTCCTTATTCCCAGTACCCAACCTACCTCAAGCAACACGTAGATACCCAGTCTACAACAAGTAACAATCACTAGTTTATATGAAGTTTAGGGGTCAAAATAACCCCAGACAATCATCCTACATCGGCAGGATGGGTGTGGGGAACAATGCCATAACAAGGAGAGGTAAAGTGGTAATGGTGGAGGTACAGAAATGTAGCCATGTTTTTTTTTAAGTCTAGCTTGGGTGATGTACACACACACCATCACCTCTCACAAAGATTCTCTAACTTAAGTAATAAATGATTTTGAGAGTACAGTCTCTCCTCGACTTACGACGGGGTTCCGGACCGACGACCAGGTCGTAAGTCAAAAAGGCGAAAATAATGCATAGAAAATTTAAAATGGGTGTCTCTTTTTCAACTCAGCACCACGAGAACTCTCACTTTTTCACTTGCCAACCATTTTAAAGGGAATTACAAACGAAAATTTTGTCACTACACAGCACTATCAATAACGTTGGGACTCGAAAATACGTAATTTGAAAAATATTTTATACGACTGCAATGGTCGTAAGAAGAGGAGTACCTGTACTGTAATAATCTGAGTTGATGAGAAGATTATATTCCTAACAAGTAGAACATATTACAATATTTTAGAGAATAATGTACAGTAATTATAATACAGGGCTTACCTTCTGCAGTGATAACAGGGCAGTCAACAGTATCCATCTGGCTATATTAGTCAACATGTTCGTATCCACTTTCTTCAGGTATCTCTGTTAAATTCTGTAACTTAAATTTACAAGAATTAATAATCTTAGTAAATTGACTAATAAAAAATTAAAATTAAAACAGGAAATGAGTTACAGTATCTTGTTTCTTTGCGACTTAAATGTTGTAACTCAGATACAACAAAGTTGAAGGCTTGAGATCACGTAAGGACGCACCTAGCTCATGACACTATCACAGGAAGCTTCTTAAAAGATACAGCCATATCCCGTAACTTGTCAAGGGTTAACTGTCTTGAGTACTGTACATGTGTTTACAAACTACCTAACTGCACCCAACCATTTTATTTTTAATGGTTTTGAAAATTACATTCTTCAAGGCTGATATTAATATAATTACTTACCCATTCAAGTATGGCAGCAACATTAACTACTCCCCATACACAGTAATTCCTAAGTATGTGCAAAAACTTAAAAAACTATACAGTGCAAATTTAAGTACAATAATAACTTTAACACAATACTTTGACAAATATTTCACCTTGAATTAGTAAATAATAGACAAAACTGTACTTTGATATAATAAAGGTTAATACAGGTATGTTATGTTAGTCCCTTACTGCTGAAACCAGATGGTGACGGGTTATCTCCCCCTCTCATTCTATATTCTCAATTTGTCATTACCATTCATTACACAAGACATTTCAGGAGCCTTTAATCACACATGATGTGTTTACAAAATGATAATACAAGTATCCCCTACTTTACAAAACTCAGGTTGTGGAAATAACGCATTATGACCACTAAATTCGGGATATGGCCCATAAATTCGACCCAACTGAAATGGGATAAATTTTCAACACAAAAATCTTGATATAGAATAAAAAAAAAAGAATTTATTTAGTGTGGATTTCTTTGTGTTTGCTGCCACCAATAGTGAGTTTACAGTGTACCCATGCCACTGGACTCCATTTGTTTATATATCCCAGCATATACGCGTGACCACTCGACCTCAGCTCTTGGATTTAACAGTTATTCCAGACTGTCCAGTGTACAGTATTACTTTTGTTCAAGATGAGTGGAAAGAGGCCATTCATTAAGTGCAAGTGAAAACACCGGTACGAAAAAAAAAGTCCAAAAAGGATTTACGTTGGATATACTAAAAAATGTTTTATGGAGTTTGGTGAAGGAGAAAAACTTAACCAGATTGCAAAAACATAAGGGCTTGTTAGGTCTCCCAATAATTCCCATTGCACCACTTCACCAAGTGCAGTGGTCAACATTGTTTGTGGCGAGTTAAATTCAAGTGTTTTGTGTATTTACCATCATATTATATCATAAAATAGTCCATATAAGGGTTTAAAAAATAAAATCATCCATAGGTGTGTTTCTACGTCATTACTTCTTTTTGCCAAAGAAGTTTTTTAGGAATGCATCTCCAATCATACAATGAAAGTCAATGGGAAAATGGGGTTCACACTATGGTAAACTTTTCAAGGACGCATCCCTTCAGAAACTGTTGGATCACTGTACAATACATCAAAATACATAAAATGACTTCTGGAGTAGATAAAATTAATGAACACCTGTGCAGTAGGGGACATGTATGGATATGAAATACCACACATCTTGCTCATAACTAAGTCAGTTAAGAAAGAAGGCTCTAAAGTGTTAAAAAAATGCAAATTCATATAAATTCCTTTTATTTTGGTGAACAATGAACCAAATAAATTTTCTACATGAATATTATGAGAATTTCACTAAAATTATCCACAGATCAGTAGTTACATTAACAAACTACTGGCAACCTCCATGAAGAGAGAATGGGAATGATAATTTGTGGGTAGTACTGTTTTAATTCAATCTTTTCATACTAATGTGTACTGTGCTACCATAAGTGACATACTGTATAGATATAAAGGATTACAATTAAGTTTTGTTCTTTTTTTTTTTTTACAATTTTGTTGACTTTGTACATAGGATCTAAGTCCCTGTTTGTCATACACTTAGGCGACACAAAACTTAACCATAAACCCCCTTGATGCTTATATTTTACTCACAGTTGTGTAGTTAACAAATATGCAAGTGCAATATATGCCTAAATCAATACATGAAAAAGTTAAATGTTACATCCCACCAGTAGTCATCATCTAAGGTCATGCTCGCCCATCTTAGAATACAAAAGAAAAGGTCACCACTATCTACATTCTTCTTCTAACACAATGAGCGACTCGCTGGCTGACCTCCGACACACATTCAACAATAAAAAATACACGCACGAGGCTGAAAATAAATGTACCTGATTTCTTTTACAATGCTACGTCTATTTAGAAACCTTCTCTGAACTGTCTAGATTCTAAGCGCGTTATGATGTTCTCCAGCTGTCTCCGAGCCTCGCACTGGGGGAAGTTCTGCATGTCGTAGTAATTAGGAGCCACTTTGATGAGCCAATCAGCTGGAAGATAAACAGTAAGAGATGTAATGGCAAAATCGCACAAACTAAATACGACAAATTTCTCCCTTTATGATTATGGTAAATAAATCATCAATTCTACAAGATATATGCAAAAAATATATACATTATCAGTAAGCATAGAAATGAGGCAATTTTCCACGTTAAAAAGCTATAATATGAACAGACCTAATGTGCCCCTGTAGTTATATAAATGATTCAATAACATATTTGTAAGTTATTGTGAACGTGCATGTTTAATTATGCAAAGAACACAGAAAAAAAATGCAGTGATATTAAGTTATTTAATCTGTACTTGCCGTCAAATTTTTAGCTCTTTATTATTTAAGTCTTAAACACTTATAAATCCTTATGTATATCGGACGACATCTGGTTAACACGCTCCAACAAACACTTACGTTTAATGTCTGTTACAGTTCGGATGTAGTTCTTGGTGGTTAGGACGAATTCATTGTATAGGACCCACTCGGGTTTGTGGTCTAAACAGGTGGACGGATGCAGCTGCACCACCTGATTATCCTTGATGGTCATGTAGTGCCCGGTGCGTTCCAGGTGAGCAATCTGAAACAAACATACAGTACAACATATGAATAAGGCATAACACATTTATGCCATAATAATCACTAGAATTTCAACCCATGATATAGTATGCTACACATCTACCTCAAAACTGGGAGCAAGATGACAACCTACTTCTCTGGACCACAACTATTATAACTCTTTTTAAGCTGGAGGAAACAAGGATACAGTACTATGTTCCCTCCTAGGCTTGAGGAGTGGTCATATGCTGAATCTCGTCAACGCAGAAAACACCTGAAACACTGGGTGAAGAATTTTACATGCCGGATTCACTAAAAAAAATGGAGTCACCACATCATTAAACTAATTTGTAAGTGCAGGTAATAATGGCTGTTTTGGTAATCATACAAAAGTAGGAAGTAAAAGGAAAGAAGCAGAATTAAGGGAAACAAAATCAGATGCACCACAAAAGGTTTTACTTCACCAGATATTGCAAGACCAAAATGAGAAAAAGATTCCTTATAAAACACTAGATATTGAAGAGAAAAAGTAAATATTGAAGAGAAAAGTACACAAACAGATTTACATTACTGTGACAAAGGTATTGTTTCTATTATCATCCTACTGTACAAAAAAGGCTATTCACTGTATTGTATATCACCTCCAACAATACAAGACATGGAAGCACTGTAATGATATATGATGGTATGGTGTGGTGATGCTCTGCGAGTTAAAACCAATCGTCTGCCTTTTGCTGCGGTCACATTCCACCAGCTTACAAGAAATTAACACCATAGATTGGTTCTTTCATATCGATTCCTTTCAAAATGGGGCAGAAAGGAAGACGTTGCTTTTGGATTATGTAGTTGCTGTGTGTATTTAGGACTTGAAAGAGTTGAGAAATAACTAACTTTTTCCATGAGCTATCAATATTAGTCTATTTTATTCCTTTTATACCCGGAGTGGAAATAAGTGAAGATTACAGAGGAGAAAGGACCTTAAATAACTGACTTTTCCCATGGCAGCATCACCAAACCCTCCAGCCAGGCATTATCATACACTGTTTCCAATCTCTCTCTTCCCTTCATTTGTAATTGTGATTTCCATTTTTGCCTTACTCTTATTCATGTTTCCTCATCTCATCTCTCTTTAAAACCTTGTGGCAGTATTTCTCATCTTTCCTCTGCTCTGCACCTATTAGTCTCTTGTCGCCTTCATCATCAGTTTAGTAATTACCTCTGACGATCACTTCATAACCCCGCCCCCTCCTCCCCATGTACAAAAAAAAAAAAAAATTTTAGCCTGGACCAGATGACTCAAGAATTATGCCCACTAAAACTGATGGATGAAATTTCTGTAAGCCCACAGACAAATGTGGTTGGAACCAATTCGTCAATTAGTTACATCTTCCTGTCATAAACATGTTCCAGTAAAGGAATCTTTTTAAAATACTAATCAAAATCTAAGGTGGAAAATAAAGTGACGACACTACACCACTGGCTTGCATTCTACCTTCAGTGACTCATTTATAAAGATAAATTAGCCAGAGTCCCTGATGTCTAAGGGTTATGTACAGTTATCAACCCACAGGATATGGTGAGATTAATACACAAGTCACCCAAGACAGTTGTTCAGTAATAAAATGGTTGCTGACAAATTTAACCATCTAAAGATGTAATCAATACATTACAGAGACATTGCTTTCAAAGGAACCCTTTTTTTACACAAGATATGGGTACAGTACAGTATAACATCATATACAGGTATTAACAAAAGCATAAAAAGTAGGAGCTTTAGGAGAGGGCACATGAGCCTGAGCCCTTCTTCATAGACCTGACTCCATGCACTTATAGTTTCTGTGGGAGACCAAAGGATGTTGCCCCATTCTGGCAACTATGTAGCTCTACATAGAACCCGTTACATTCAAGCTAAACCAATGTGTATACATATTTACCTGCATGAAGAAGCCCGAAACCAGAGCCTTCCGAATATTCATATAGTAGTCACGGGAATTGAAGTCAGTGGACGTGCGCTTTAGACTGAAACGGTCCATAATACGGGATAACTGTTGACGAACATTATCCGCCGATTTGAGAGAACGGTAGTTGACAAAGTTGTCGTAGCACCACTGCACATCCTCCATATCTACCGGCATATAAAGGGTCAGCGAAAGAGAGAACTGAAATTAGTAAAAATTCAAACTCTTGGGACAGACATTTAGCTGACACGCGATTCCGTCAACACGATGATGCAGTAGTAAAACAATAAATAAATCTTATAGTATAATATTTATTAATAGAGCTCACAAATTCAACTTTAAACTGACTACTTGATTAATAAAATTTGATCTAAATAATAGTAAATTAAATCTATCTATAGCTAGTCAAATATTATGATAAATTACAAAGGGATAAAAATGCCTGGGTAGATCCTCTTCCTGGCAGCTTAAACTATGTCTTACTTTTCACTCCACCAATGTTTATTTCTCTTGTTAAATGATCTTCAGTGTACTTAGCATTCAGGTAACAACTATTCATCAATTAAAACACTACCTTTCTCTCCTGAATCAAGTACCTTTCATCATCAGTGTTGCTATACTGTACTGAACTACTAACCTCATTCTCACTCCTTTTAAAACTAGACTAAATTAATAAAACATGATGTGTGATGCAATACTCACTCTGTTTGAAGGCATGATAGACGTTCAGCAGCGTGAGGTGGTCCCCATCTATGTGCGCGAATCTCATCTTGGCCTCGTCTGCAGCCTTCTTAGCCTCATTAGGGCGCACAAAGCACTGGGGTACTGTAGCGAGAATTGGGAAACCGACCCGGCCCCACCACAGCCGCGCATGACGGCGGGAGAGGGAGGGTACGGCCCAAACATTAAGCCTCACCCTCCTCACAAGGCGAAGGGCACCGCCCCTCCTGGCTTGCTCAACACTTTACTTCAGCCACCTAGGGGAGCTACACCAGATTAGAACCACAGCCTCCAACCTTCCCACCATAAACATTCCTACTGGGCCATCAAACTCATTGAGTTTGTTAAGGAGAAAAAGATGCCACAATTCTTGATGAGGCGTCTTCAAGCTTCTTACATTAGTCACTTTTCTGATCAACAATGTTATCCTGGGAGGAACGATGGATGGATGTGGTTCCAACACAGTGCTGCTCATTTTAATGGCACCCTTTATCAGGTGCGATGTTGCAACATGGTGTACATCATATCCAGCAATTCTAAATCTGATATCAAAAATACTTTCTCAAAGTTAATTACACTGTCAACAAAAACTAATTCAACTAATCTACTTCTTGACAAGTTACAGTACATATTCTTTCAAAATGAAACAAATATCTTTTAATTACAGCAAATAATTTGGTTATGTGAATTAAAAGGTTTCAATGTAAAATTGAACTTCCATTTTTTACCGAGTCCAAAATGTGAAGTATTTTGTACTTTTATGACATGCAAATTTAAGTTCGGCACCTAACCCAAACAACATTAGTATCGTTTACCTTTCGTAACTAACCTGATAGCATAGCAGTTATAGACAGGATCTCGTTAGAGCAGTTGAAATCGCAAGAGGCAATCACCATTTTGGCTAACTGAGGATCCAGTGGGAACTCGGCCATGATCGCTCCAAGTTCCGTTAGATTACCTACACGGAAGAAAACACACAGTAATTATAAAAGAACACCAAGGTCCATTTATTACAACCTCAAGCCCGAAACACCAAGAAAATTTTAGAAATGACATACAAAGCTGCTAACACCATTAACTTTTTAAACAGAAGACAAGACATATAAATCCTCCCCTCCCTTCCCTCACCCCCCCAAAAAAATAATTCTTCCTTATCACAATTAAATAACCAAATCAAATATAGACTCACCATCATCATCAAGAGCTGCCAGGTAGTTCAAAAGCTCCAGCGCTCTCATAAGAGTCTCGGGAGCCGGTGGATCCATGAAATCAAAGTGAACCAGATCGTCGATACCCAACTTTTTCAGCTGCAACACCACCGACCCGAGGTTGGACCTCAAGATCTCGGGGTATGTGTTGTCCTGAGAATATAATCATAATATTAACCCATGAACCTTACACCATATTCAGACTGCCAGTGTCTATGTTAGTTCCAGGTTGTATTGTCATATCACTTTTTTAAGATTTCCATTTATATTATTTAGCTCATGTGTTAATACGTGTTTGCAAGAATTCATGTACCTTGCATCTCTGAAACTGTGTTATCTTATCCACCCAATATAAACTGTAAATAAGACAGTTGCAACACAATATCTCATGACTAACCATTTTTTAAAAGCGAGTTATTAGTTTCATCCTAGATCCACAGCTAAGTATTCCCTACTCTGCCCCTACATGCACATAAATGGACGTCTTTCTCGCAGCTAGCGTCCACTGATGACAGCTGTTGTTTATGGATTAACAAGATACATCTATGCTTCTCTAGGGTTAATATTACTTACCTGCATTTCATTTTTGAAGGCCTTTTCTGTATATAATCGGAAACATTTGCCAGGTCTAGTTCTGCCTGCACGGCCTGCTCGTTGCTGTGCTGAGGCCTTACTAATAGGGGACACCAACAGTGACTCTACACGGATGCGAGGATTGTAAACCTGAAATAAACAAATAAAGTTATTTTAACTCGGACTCGCCAGAATGGAGAACGAAATGCAATCATATTTATATTGAAACATATTACACAAGGAAAAACAGAAAGGACAGTATTGCAACCAAACCTTACCTTTTGTTTTGCAAATCCCGGGTCAATAACAAAGACAACTCCATCGATGGTCAACGAAGTCTCAGCAATATTTGTAGACACCACCACTTTCCGACCTATTGCTCCGTTTTGTTTATTTGGAGGCGGAGCTTCAAATATACGTTGCTGGAGGTTTGGAGGAAGTGTGGAATATAGAGGTATACACTTAAGGTCACCAACATCTGGACCAAGAGCATCTACTTCTCTCTTGATGCGTTTGCAAGCCTCCTCTATCTCCTCCTGACCAGTGAGGAACAACAACACATCACCGGGTATTTCTTCACATATGTGGATCTGTGGGAGAAGACAATGTTTTGTAGTGTAAATACTGGTACCAGAACATTAAAAAAATTATTCAATATAATCAGTGAAAGTGAAAACTAATAATGATTAAAAAAAAAAAATTACTATGAACATGAGCTGTAGCACAGTATGTAGAGCTGACACGATTTTAGTCAATTTAAGCCAGTGAAAATTATCAATACAAATCAAAATATTTAACTGAAACTAATTCATTAAGAAGTTTACAGTTTCCTATCACACCCAAACACAATAAAAAAAACCCTGAATATGAGGTTGCGAGCAGCACTTACCTGTATAACAGTTCTAATAGCAGCCTCTAGATAATCTCTCTCTGGCTCTGGGGTGTAGAAAATTTCAACAGGATGAGTACGGCCAGGAACATTTAACAAAGGGGCTTTATCAAAGTAATGCTGAAACTTGCCAGCGTCCAGGGTGGCAGACATGACGACAAGCTTGAGATCATTCCTCTGTTTTAGGACCTCCTTCAGGACACCCATCAAGATATCTGTAGCAAGAGTACGTTCGTGGGCCTCATCAAGCAAAATTACCTGTTGAAGAATTTTTAGATGTTTAATTTGGGGTAACATCATTTATTAACTGCAAACATGCCAAGGCAGAATCTAGTCTTGACACAAACTTTGACAACACCAAATTGAATATCTTATCGCTACACGTGGTTCATGCCAAGCAAGACGAGGGCTAAGTTTCATCTTGAGGTATTGTAATTAAAAGTGCTCTGATGCCAAATTGAGTGAGACTTCTTAGCACACCAGAAAAAATACCTATATCATATCAATTCAGACCACAGAGAAGATCAAGGTGAGAAAATTAAGAGACAATGAGTAATACAGCAAACTTACAAGAATAAGAAGAATATATGGACTAATTTCAAGGAGGAGGGGGATGACCGAGATTGTGCTTTTCAGGAAGCTAAATAGTGAATTATACAAATGTGCTCTAATTAAAGTCGCATGATTTAGTGGTTACATAAATGTTAAAAAAAAAATACAACAACTGTACCTAGAGACACCACTTGCTATTCACACAAGCCATTGGTTCAAAATCCTCTAATTACTATTTTATTTTTTAAAGTTGAAAGTTTCTGTTGGTCTGAAACAAATTTTCAGATAAAAGAAAACACCCAAAAATGTCAAGGGTATTGAAACTTATGGGACAAACCAGTTGTGAATGAAAGATTTATGAATAACCCAGATGTGTTCTTTTATGGAATTTCCTTCTACAAAGTCCTGACAACACATTACAGTATATACGTTGTGATAAAACTTCACTCACCTGATAATTTTCAAGCATGGGGTCACTCATGGCCTCTCGAAGCAACATACCATCAGTCATGTACTTGAGAACAGTTTTAGAGGAGGAACAATCTTCAAATCGGATGGAATAACCCACCTCTTGACCTAAAGCCACGTCCATTTCCTGAAATGACACATACATCACGTGTAAAAATCACCAAGAACAGTGATATACTCTTTCAGCAGTTTGAGTGCATAAATTTAAACATGAGTAACACAAAAGACCCAGGAGTTGATCTATAACAGAAAGATGTACAGTCAAAGAAAAAGTCGCATTACACTTACAGTGCCTTCTGAAGCCCATGGTGAAGAATTTTGGTAAAGTTCCCCGAAAAGATTCGAACTTCGAAGCTTTGCTGTCACTTTACCAAGATTCTTCGTCATGGGTTTTGGAAAATAAAGCTAGGGAGGTGTAACTTTTTTTTTTTTACTGTACAATATATGGTTCTTCCTAAGCCCATGGTAAGCCTATCATGAGAGATGAACAACACACCATTTTATACAACTTATGAAGCCCCAGGTATAAAGGGGGTTTCAGTTACATGGCATGACATTTATTCGCCACATGAGAAAGACTACTTAGAATACACATAAATGGAAGACTCAAAAATGCACCCACCTCTGCAACACGCTGAGCAACTGACATTGCAGCCACTCTCCTTGGTTGTGTGCATGCCACTGCTTTCTTCCCTCTGCAGCGTGCAAATTCCACACACCACTGTGGCATCTGTGTAGTTTTACCCGAGCCCGTTTCACCAACCAACACTATTGTTTGATGACGATCCAGGAGATCAAAAAATTTGTTACGATACTCCCACACTGGCAGCCCAATTCTTTTCCTGTAATAATTATATGTTAATTAATGCAGTGTCCATTAAGGTTCCACATTAACATATACATAAAAATTCATTATTAAAAGCCAAATATACAGAACTGTATTGAGTTTTAGTTGACATAGTTGATAATCCTGTTAATAATAATACACCATTTTCTTACCTGTATAACTCATAGTATCTTGGAGTGTACGGCAGGTTTGTGAAGGGATTGAGAGACATAGCAACAGCTCCCCTTTGAACATTAGACGGTAAATTAACGCCTGGTTTAATTGGTTCATTTGTTATCGTTTTAAACGAACTTTGGGTGCCCAGACTTCCGCTGCTGGTGTAACTACTCTCACGGTCAAACTCACGTTCATGGTCAGCAGCATATCTGAAAGACATTAAGAACACAAGCTTTAGTACTCAAAAACAATGATTGAAGAGAATAGGATTAAAAAATAAGTAAGCTGCCTAGTGCAGTACCAGGTGTCAAGTTGCTGATAATTTAAATACTGTACTGTAGTTTATGGCCTCACCAACCAGGTAAACTACAAGACATTCCAGATATCTCTCTTTTATAATTGTGTTCATGTAGCCACTAAAACCTTACACAGTATATAGATTTCAGAAATAAGAGAATATTGTATAACACCTGCCACTAAATTCAACGTCATTAAATGTCACCAAACAAAGCTAACTCAAAAACAACAATTCTTTGTCTCTAAGACATACAAAATGTGTAAGCAGTGGCCTTTGTCGCCACAAATAAATTCAACATACATCGTGGCTAATCGTATGAACAAATCTTGTCAGTCCCACTCCAGATTATCTTAGGTTTCACAAGAATAATTCATTTCTCTGCCATGATAATTATCTTTACAATTTGCCTCAGAATCCAAAATAACAGAAATACTATGGTAGACTGCCTCTTGATCTTTATTTTTGACAAGAATCTTGACCAAAAATATATGTCAAATAAATAAATAAATAAATAAATGCGTATCCCTAACCTACAGTATACCAATAATGCTGTGGGCATATTAAAAAGTAAAATAGTTTCGGTCATCCCCCTATTTGTAAGTTGTTAAAAATACATAAAAAACACTGGAGAAACATAATTTCAACTAAACCCAACCCAAACTAACTTAACATCCTAAAATCCGCTGATGACCCATTAAAATACCTGGACCACCTGGGTATATCCTTACACTATTTTTTTATGTAGTTTCAAAAATCCACAAACTTATTCAACCTTTATTTTTACCCTAACCATCCCTGTCCTTAAACAGCTGCAGGGTTTATGTGAATTAGTTTTGGAAGGATTACAAAACGTGGAGATGATGAGGATAACTTAATGATGATTCACTTATTGCCTCAGCCTCACCATGCTTCAAATTCTACCCACGAAAATTACACAAAATACGATAACTGACATATAATCCATCTTCACCTTATTCAAATAGCGACTATACAGTATAATGGCTTTGGTCAAACTCATATGGAATGTAACAAGGAAACATAAGACTTGATCACGTAACTACCCCCAGTGGATGGAACATTTCCCCCTAAATAATCTCCTACTCTCGTTATATTACCTCTTTCTCAGTGCTGCAGGATCGATGTCTATTTTTCGCTTCGACATGTTTCTTTGACTGTAAGATTGAATTCACCGTTAGTGTGTGTAGAGGAAGGTAAATGTGACAGATATAAGCACCAGCACACACAGCAGCCGCAGCCCGTAAGGGAAGTTTGAACTTGTGTGATGGTTCTCTTCCTCACTCACCCCAAAAACGTGTTGCTTACGATATATTATACAACATATTGTAAAAGTAATTGGTAGTTTATAATTACATATTATGTAGCTATATTTTATGATACATTTTTTCTACTCTCTAGTAAAGTTTTATCAAAATCATTACTGCTAAACGAGAGGTCAAAAAACTTATAAAACGTTGTATAGATTAAAATAAATAATTTTAATGGTATTTTACGCCACCTGTAACTGTTCTACCGTGCTACTTTACAAATATAATTTACAAATCAATTTCAAACAATTAATTATTTATTCCATTACGCTGCAGAATTGCCGTGAGTGAAAAGGTAATCAAAACAAATCAGCAGGTGGACTGTATTACACATAACACCAAGATTAACACCATATCAAGCTTACTCTCATATTTTAATTCAACCTGTGAGTGATGATATGTAACGCTCGCTAAATGTCCTTGAATATACACATTGTCAGGACATACCTATTGTGTCTGTCTCCACCCCATCACACCCTACCACCACCACCATCAGCTCCACATCTCTTACAGCCACCACATCTCTACACCCCATCACACCCTACCACCACCACCATCAGCTCCACATCTCTTACAGCCACCACATCTCTACCACCATCACACCCTGCCACCACCACCATCAGCTCCACATCTCTTACAGCCACCACATCTCTACCACCATCACACACTCACTCTACCAACATACAACCTCGGTAGTTCAAAAGGGTGCTTCAACTCTTTAACATACTAAAACAGTTTTATTCAACAATTCAACGCTATTCACGGCTAACTCACTGACACGAGACTACAATTGATGACGTCACCGCTTTAAAAAACATAACCCAACCTTACACACAATAATAGTAATAAAACCCCGTAAATACTCAAGAAACAGACAGGCGTAATCTATTTTAATAATAATAGCCTTTGATTTCGAGGCTGAACTATACCACTGAAGAAAAAATGTTAGCCACAGAAAATATGTTGAGTCATAATATTATACATTAATGACATGATTAAATTTGAAACTAGTATATAAGGCAGTGGGTGTAGCGAGAGTGATACACACAGGTCCTCTCACCTACAAGTAGCAACGCATGAGGTTAGAAAGGATCACTGCATTTGAAATTTAAGGAGTTTGTGATTTAGATTAGCCATATTACGGTACACATTTGATATTCCTTGGGGGAAGGAAAACTCAAGGAGCAAAAAAAATATATTTATTACAACAGACAAACTGTTCATGATCACATAGAATATAGACACACGGATATTCAAATTAAAAGAGCTATAAGACAGTGGAACAGTGGCCAGCCCTGGGGCTAAGAGAGGATCCAGATGGAGGGGTCTGGATGCCTGCAGCCGACGAATGAGTTTGCGGTTACAGAAGTGCCCGGCGGAGGGTTCGGGTCGTCTTTGGAAGAGCGAGTCAAGAGTAGATTGACTGCATAAGTGCCCCCTTGGTGTACCGTCCCTCAATAGTGCATTACTTCATTACCATTTATATCAACATTCCTCCACACTATTAAACAGATTTATTACCACTCACAAGTTATCGCCGTAGAAAGTGCCATGAGTACCATGGTATAATTAGATGTTATTTTGGGTTTGTTTAACAGGGTAAGTTTAAGAGGCACCTGTGCCTCCAGGGGTCAAGCACGACTTTATGCGCAGTGGCGATCCCAGTAGGCTCCGCTCCCTCCCGCCAATCTCTCTCGACCTGTGCTTGCTGGTTGCTGACTGTGGTTTCGCCCAATCTCTGGTGCAGGCTGAACACATGCCCCCTTGCTGCCGCCCGCTTCAGCCCACGGGGGTAGTGGCAGGTCCAACATGAGTCTTGTTGTGATCGTGGTGGCTGCTTGTGTTGCTGATGCAGTTACTGCTGACGTCATAACTGTCCTTTGCTTCAGATCTCGCTGTCCTCAGCGGACAACGGCACACGCCGCACACCAAGACTGGCGGCGGGTGTTGAGAAACCACAGACCAGGGTCATCCGCAGCACAGTAGCGGGGAGGAAGCTTGCTGACTCACAGAGCATGTGGTGGTGGCCAAAGAATATTATGGTGGTGGCCTTATGCAGGTTTTTTTTTTAAGATTGCCCCGGAGGGGGGTAGTTTATTGGGCTTATATACAGGTCGTGCAAGCGCAGTGGTGACCCCGGTAGGTTCCGCCCCAAGGAAAGTACACAGGAGTAACCGTGTCTCCCTTACTTCTTTGGGGAGGGGGGTGGCTCCGAATGGCTCGCCATCTATTGGCCAGTCGTCCTTAATAAAGAAAACGAGTTTTTCTTTCTCGTTTAAGGGATCACTATGATTTGGCGCATCTAGTAGACAAACGTTTATAACAGAAAACGATATATGTCAATAACTATCAATAAATACTGTATATAAAGGGTAATCTATTCACGTAAGGATTGAACGAAGAGAAACCTTAATATGATGTTTAGAAGAATTTTATTAAATGTGTTAGACTACAAAACACATTATTTTTATTTAAACGTATTTCATATTTTAATAACTGTCCATAAACGTGTGTGGTCAAGCTACTTTTATCGTTTAACATTTGCATTTGCTTGTTACAGTTTTTATCAGATGAGGAAACATAAGTAAGACACATTTACACAGAACATGAACATCATCAAATGTAAAAGGCATGCAGTTAACACATAAGCAAGCTCGTGATAACCACAAGCAGCAACAATTACAGCATAACGTGAACGTGCGCACAACGATCACCAATGCACTTTCTTAAACACGAAAATAAAAACAAAATATTCACGGAAAACTTGTTCACAATTATTACGACATATAAACAAAAACAGAAAGCAGACACACTGTACAATATAAAAAAACAAAACAAAAACATGCTCAGGACAGTGCATATTGTATTAGCAAAAGTAATTTTCATTTATGTATAAAAGTAAACAGCACAAAATAGTAAATGTCTTAACTGTCACCACGCCCAGCTGCCCAAGTGAAACAGCCGACTCAGCCTTTCCCGCCACTGAGCAGTGCCATCTAGTATACAGGCGTGCACACACACTGGGGTCTACATGGAGTAGCTTTAAGACCTGCTTCCTCCTGTATCATTTCCTTGCTCTGCTCCCTCCCGTCAAACTCTTTCGACCTGTGCTTGCTGACTGAGGTTCCGCCCAACCTTTGGTACAGGCTGACTACATGCTTCCTTCCTGCCGCTTCCACCCACGGGAGCAAGTATCAGGTCTAACAAGGGTCTTGTTGGGGTCGAGGTGGCTGCATGTGTTGCTGAGGCAGTTACTGCTGGCGTCACATATTTCTGAGTGATGAGATTTATCTAAAAGTATTGAGGTTTCATGCTGGTTGGTGGTGGCAGAGAGAATTGAGTAAACGTGTAAGTTCAATGCCAGGCGCGGCTGCATTAGCTGGTACATATAATAGTCATATTATTTAAAGCCGTTTCTCATTGGTGTACGATCCATCAACTCTCTCTCCACACACACACACCCTAAAGAGACTTAGCGTGCACAAACGAAAGAATTTTGTATAAACAAGTGTCGTATATTATACACTGTAAACCCCACGTTAATTATTATTGTTATCTCTTTCTACCACAGCCTAGTATCTTTTCAGTCGTGTACAGAAAGCATAGGGTTGATGACACTGTTCCACCTTCGCACGCACAAATTATATATTCAAATGTGAACCACTTTTAGCCTATCATCTGTGAATCACTACAAGTGCTCTTATCCTGAAATCATGCCACCAGAAAAAAACGGGGCTACCTCTGCTGTTGTATCGTTAGTGGCTGTGTGTAACCTCCTTTATCAATTTAACGTTATTATTGACAAGTCGTTTTGGGGGATTACTTGGAGATTAACTCCAAGTCAAATATCACATATCTCTATCCACACTATTTTCCTCAGTATCAACACCGTCACTTTCGGAAAAAAACAATTATATGTTATACTTTTGTGACGAAATACTGTATATTCTACACTGGACAGGAGTGATTATACTGATGCAATGTTAATCACTCAAGATATTAGTAAAATTATTAACCATGATAAATTTTTTGCTGACATGTTATTAATTTATAAAAATATAACACTTATTATTCAATGAAATTATATTAAAAAGTACTAAAAATGGTTAGAGCAATCGAGTGCAACATTAGCAAATTTTCAACTAAAGAAAATAAGTTACTTTGATCATAAGGTTAAGGTTAAAGAGTAATTGATTGAGATAGTAATATATGAAACTAAAGAGAGGAGGGCCAGGGGAAATCACAGACTGGCATAGATGAAAGAAATTAAAAGTTGGACCCCAGGAGAAATACAAAACTTGAAAGAATTAAACAGCGGTCATAAAATATTTAGGAGAGGGGACAATGACGTCAAGCATTTCCAAAATTAGCACCTTACCTTGAAGTAACAATAATACGTCCTTACACTACACCTTTCCGATTTCACTACAATATCTCAAATGATATCAAATTTATGGCACAGACTCTGGCATAAACTACAGAAGATTGCAGAGGGTGGAATGTGTGGCTGGGTGGAGAGGCATCAAGGAACGAGTTGTGGATGATATGGGCCACAGTTCATCAGTGTGCAAATGTTCTCAGCCAATATTCGTGATCCCTGGAATGAGAAACGTGCACCAAACAACAGGCTAGTGTAAGTGAACATCCCAGTGCACAAAGATAATTTAAAATAGTAAACTAATAGAGATAGATTTATTGAGAGGTATTATTAGTTATCCCAGTATACAGATATAAAACCAAGAATAAATTAAAGTAATATAAAATAAACGGTTAATGAGCAGAGTAAGAAAGAAGATTAAAGGCTAAAAGACAATTAAAAGATTTCACAATACTGCATCCGAATGAGGAACAAGAGGAGTTACAGCGCTTGTAAGAATGTTTGGTGTAAAGAAGAGAAACTTGAATGATTATGTTAGTAGTAAAAAATGTGGTAGCGTATTGATAAAACCGCTATTATAATTTTTTTAAGTAAGTTATCTCTCATTCCAAAGAGCATTCTCTGGTAAGGAGGTGACGTGGGAGGGTAACGACAAGTCTTCAAGGTGTCATCAATCTTGTGAAAGTCGCGGAAGATAAAGAGTTCAGCTTGAAGGTTAGACAGAGCTTGAAGGAGGATATAGCTCGACCTTTCCTGTTGTGTGTGTGGAGCAGCAGTGACCAAGACAGTACGAGAGAGTAAAAATAGCGATAACGGGAAAATTTTATGGATTCGAAAAGTATTGATAATGAAAGCGTTTACGTGTGAGATAAAGTAAGGAGACGATAAGGTTGACTGGCAGTAAAATGGAAAGATAGATAGCGAGGGAGTATGTTAGCAGGAGGGGTGCGTTGAGATGTGTTAAGGATGGGGGGAAGTAGTGATCGAGTTACCTACCTGCGCACACTCCTGCTGGCTAATGAGTCGCCGTCTACTACGTACTCATCAAAGGCCTCGACTCACCACGTCACAGATCGTAAATATTGGTAAATCATGACGAATTATTAAATTAATTATATATAAACATAATAAATACGAGGTACGACACAGCCAAAGAGATGAATAATATAAGCATCCATTGTAAGTTTAAGAAATTCAAATTCATGAGCAAATTTCCTTGAACATTACGTGTAAGAGGTAAGTCACTAGCATATAAAAGAGCCTGCCAGTCAAGAGTGACACACTATCCCCCTTAAACCTCCAGTAACTGTGGAAACCCTGCTCCCTGGTACAGTATAATAGACTGCAGCGTCTTCTCTGAACAGCTGAGTGGCGGCTCAATGCTCACCGTTTCTTTCACCTTCGTGCAGCAGCCTAGTCCTGTCTCCCATATCCCCGTAATCGTTTTTGGCGGTCCTTCACTCATCCCGCTCTCTCTCTTCTTCCCGTCACTCACTACCACCACTTTAGAGCTGTATTATTCACATTGCCACCCACGTTCCTCCCTGTGAACTATCTCTCTTGAATCTATCGGCAATCTATCCACTTTACAGGGTACTCGCTCCACGGCTTCCACCTCCACCCACAGCGTCGATCCACTTTGCCAGTCAATTCAGTCTTCACACGAGAACTGATCGACTGCTGCCTCTTGTTGTAGCTTCAGAACTGCATAAATATGGTTTTATTATCCATGCATCCCAAATTCTGAACTTTCTCATACGACACAGTTCAATAACATTTCCAAATTTAAACGACAATTCTTTTATAATATATTTCTTATAACTTACACATATCCACTTATATATTATGATCGCATTTTATTTGTGCTTCATACCTTAGCCAAATTTATTATGCTATGATGGAACAAGTTATTAGACATGTATAAATTTCTGATGAATTTAACGGACATTACAGTAATGTTTGTTTAGTGTCCTTATTTATGTCATTTTAACACCTGTTAGTTCTGTAAATACGTAGCATTTTCGCTTGAGTTAACGAGTTAGGACTAGAGTGTATTGATATTGAAGGAAAATACATTATATATATATATATATATATATATATATATATATATATATATATATATATATATATATATATTCAGTAATATTATGAATCATCGCGTATAAAGACAATGCAAGCAGTGAATCTTTAGAGTCGAAACAGTGCACAAACAATGATGCATTAACACAAACACTATACCTCCGCGTCAGGGTCAACACACCAGCTGAAGTTCCTGTGGATTACTACTACACTACTACTACGACTACGACTACTACTACAGCATTCAGATCTGATAAACAAAGTAACTCTACAAAATCTCATCTTTTTTTTTTTACATTCTCAACACAAAAAGGAAGAATTAGGTTCCTACACAATACAAAACCATTCTACAGGCGTGTGTGTGTGGGGGGGGGGGAGGTACACTATAGCCATATGGGTTGGGCGAGTCTGGTGAGATCGAAAATGCCCAGCTGTCAATTGATGAGGCTGTGAAATAAAGGACCAACACAGGGGAGAGAGTGACGGCGCATAACAACACCCCGCAGCGGCCCGCAAGCGTCCTGTGTCCGGACTCCCACAACCTCCTAGATTAAAGTATTATATTGTTATATCTTCGGGTGGGGACACGGAACTAGTGACTACAGAATCATAATGTAATTCTAAAGCCATTTCGGTCCCCTGTTTTGTGTCGTTGCTTATCGGAGGCAGTTGAATTGTACTCTTGACAGCTCCAGTTAAGAGGAAAATATAACATACGGACCTTTTGAGAATTCGACCCCAGGACCATTGTGTGTGGGGAGCGTCGTTACCTCCTTATAGAAACCCCAATAAAGTTAGTATTACATATGCTAATTTCAGCCAACCACTAAGAGCATAATTCATATCTGTGATTGTGTTTTGAATCAGCTAATAAAATCACACCTCATAAAGTCACAATCACTAAAGAAAAACAGAGAACGGAGTGTGGGAGAGGAGAGGAGAAAGGGAGGTAGGGAGGAGCGTGCGGGCAGCGGGGCATCACCACTACGTCAATGAGTTACTCTTGGGTAAAGAAATATTGATTTGTCCCACGGTCGATTTTTTTAAGCACAGTCACCAAACAAACGGAAACAATATTGGCTAGAGTATAAAGATTTGTTTGTCTAATATAAAGAATGATGCTATGCATAATGTACTATGTAGGTAAATGAATACGCGTACGTATTCATCCGTGTATGAAATTATGAGAGGATAACTTGAATATCTGATACCACTTTTTGCTGTGAGATGTCATGAACGTTTTCCCCGAGCCTTGTGACGTCACACATTGAGGTACCGCCAAGTGTGTGTGTGTGTGTGTGTGTGTATTCCTGAGCTATAATAACTTCGCATGACAGATAACATACAAATAATACACAGCAATATAGAAACTTCCTGAGAATGGAGGTTGTTTGTGTGGAAGTCGGGTTTTCCCCAAGTTCTTGGCCTCAGATAACCATACGAAATTAGGATAGGGACACACAGGATGTTTGCTCACGTCTGTCATCCTCCCAGCTTAAATATTTATACCTAATGTTGTCAAACAAATGAAATTTCAGTATTAACCAAAGCTCAACCTATATGGAGAACTCTGAATCGGTTTATTCAAATGTCTGTTTTCAGCTTCGATGACTTAACATTCGTAATAAATATAAAAAAGTTGTGTTTATTCCGTAGCAATATGAGTAAAGCGATAAGTACAACCTTAGGTGAAATATTGTAGTACACGAGGAAAACATACCCTCTCCGATAATAAACACCTAAAATAAAATAATGTATCCATATAAGATGAATTTGTAAATAAATTAAATATCCTGTTAAAGAGCACAAGGTGGCAAGTAGTTGGTTGCTACTGTGCGCTTGGGCGCGCTTGGTAAACCTGTTCAGTTGCCATTTGAGTACAAACACTTCTCTCGTGTTTTTAAAATCTACATGATGACTAAATTAATTACATGCATGAGATATAATATACTATAACTAAACATATATAATTTTCCTAATCTATAACAGTATGTTGCACGTCAACCGCCGCTTGAAGGTTTTTGGCACGATTTAAATTTCGCGCTGTAGCTCTGAGTTGACTCTGCAGTAAGTCCTTAATGCACCGTATTTGTTTTTGATAGATAATTTACGAATTCCTGGAAGCGCAATATCCCCAGAAAATATATTCATATCTAAACTTTGTACTCATTAAATCTCCACAATTCATTTATATGGAGTACAGCAATGGTCGTGATAAAAGTTTATGCTTAAACTGAACAATCAATTGAGATGTAACGATAATCTATAATACACGAATGCCGTTTTAATAATCTGAATAATGTATAATATACTGCCATCTGGTTTTAGCCATGGTAGGCATGGGAGACCAACCAGTGGCGTCCATAATAATAGCTCGGGAAACATTATTGTCCGGCCCGATACCACGGCCAGCGTGTTGGTCACATCCAAACAAGGGTTGTTATAGAACAGCTAATCTTTTATTTTACCATTAGATGCATACAATGAATTTTGCAAGAGTTTGATCCGCCTAAAGTGTTACTAGAAGACGGCCAAACAAGTTTTCTTATGCATTGATCACAATACTCGCTTATCCGGTACTCCGTCCTTCGTACAGAATTTAATATGATATAAAAACATGATGCAACAATATAATGGAAGAAGTAATATAAAAATCACTGCATGTATATCTTTCAATAAAACAAACGTAGTAAGTTTGGGAAACTCGACTCCCGACCTACCAGCAGCGTCGACTTGGCAACATGTTGTGAGGAGCGCTGATTGGTGGCCTCCGCGGTGACGTCACGAGCCAAAACAAAGCAAACCCCGTACTGTACGCCCCTCACAGCCACGCTCAGAAAGCTCTTGAACTTCGTTGAATGTAGACCGGCAGTATATAACACTCGCAATTAACACCATCATCATTGTACATCCCAAGTAACACCTTCAAACCAATCCTCTTACATCCACGGTCTCTCTCGTACGATCATTCCGGCGTTTGCTTGTTGTGAAGGAAATTATACGAGGCAAGATGGGCGAGGTGGCTGTAAATGGTCTTGAGCCGATCATGGCCGCCGACCCGGTGGACGACGAGCTGCTGCTGAACGGATCGCCTTCTGAAACCAAGGAAAATATCGAGGGGCTTGTGAATGGTGTAGTAGAACTAACTGAGCGCATCAAGCGCCGAGCTAAACGACCTTCCAAGTTTATGACCAAAGAATTAAGTCGAGCGAACTCTGATACGCAGGTAATAGCCCCTCTGCGTGCGCTCAAGAATTCTCGCAAGTCGCGCAATGGCTTTGGACGCGGCCTTCCTAAGAAGGGTGAGTTTGATCCCAATGTTAGTGTTTATTATGTACAACGCATGTGAGAGTATTATAGAAATTAGTGTAGGTGTTGTCATTGCACCGATATTTGAAATTAACCGAAATTGCCATCTTACAACTGTGTGCCGCCGGAGGCGACAAACGTTGCCTGAGCCCCGTAAAGCCCGGGTTGTCAGCTGGACTCCTACTCCGACATTTGAAGGCAACTTTTGAGGTGGTGTTAATAGTAGCTCAGTTTGTTGTCATGTGTTAGGGATTATTGTAACATGCAAGTTGGTACAGTTTTTGCAAGCAAATATTGTATATAATCACAGTGTCATCGTATTTTGAACGTTGTGCTTTTAATAGTCTGCAGTGGTGTGATCCCAGTTGTACTTTGAACATGATATACAAGTTATCTTGGTTGGTGGGAGTGGGTGGTAGGCGTGGTTGTGAAGGAGCCTCGGTACTCGCTGACAGGAGATTGGTTTTTGCTTACTGCACAACCGGTAATGTAAGAGGTCTATTTTTAGACAGCTCGCTGGTCAACTCAATAGTTATAACTGCTGTGGAGAACTGATGCCAGTGGCGTATCTTTTGATCTATTGAGCCATGTATGCATGCTAGTCAAGTTGTGTAATCCGTCATTTTACGAAATAACGGGAAAAATAGTCGGTTAGGATAGGTTAATTTAGGCCAGGTCAGGTCTTAACCAAACCAGAATTAAACATTTTAGTTCGCTATTTGACTAATTTTTTGTTCAGATATTCCATGAAATGACTGATGACACGACTAACATGTACATTATATATTTACATGTTGGCGCATATCATTTAGGAATGAAGACTTGGTTGTCACGATGTTGTCACGGCACACTTAAGACTCGGGCATAAGACCTGGTTGTTCTAAGCTGTAACAGACACGCGCAAATAATTGACCTTGGTGATTTATATAAGGAATAGTTAAAGAGAGAGAGAAAGATATACTGTACAGGAAACGCACCCGGCCTGGCTGACTGAGCCCCTTATCACACCTTCCCCTCCGCAACCCCCCAAACCCCCCTCTTCCCCCTCCTACCGCCTCTTGCTCACCCATACTCTCTGCATCCAGCTCTCACTCTCTCCCCCCTTCCCTGCACTCACTTTTACCCTATCTCCCTCCTCCTGTGTGCGGATTAACATTGTCGCCCTGAACCCACTGAACTTGCGTACAGCTCTGGGGGAAAAATGTGTAATGTTAGCATTATACCCCGTACCGTTGTTTGTATGCCTGCACTGATGTATACTGTATATATGCATTGCTTATATACATAACTATTTATCTATCAAGTACGGTAGGAAGTGAGATACGAATTTACAACGCCAATTAACCGAATATTGAAATATTTAAATTTTAATAGAATTTAATACCCCTAGAGTACGTTGTCAACCCCCAGAATACGTTGACAACCTCCTTGAGTCCGTTGACAACCTCCTTGAGTCCGTTGACAACCTCCTTGAGTCCGTTGACAACCTCCTTGAGTCCGTTGACAACCTCCTTGAGTCCGTTGACAACCTCCTCGAGTCCGTTGACAACCTCCTCGAGTCCGTTGACAACCTCCTCGAGTCCGTTGACAACCTCCTCGAGTCCGTTGACAACCTCCTCGAGTCCGTTGACAACCTCCTCGAGTCCGTTGACAAAGTCCGTTCCTCCGAGTCCGTTCCGTTGACAACCTCCTCCGTTGACAGCCTCAGTACGTTGACAACCCCCTACAGTGACGTTGACAGCCCCTACAGTACGTTGACAACCCCCTACAGTGCGTTGACCCCTACAGTACGTTGACAGCCCCCTACAGTACGTTGACAACCCCTGGTACGTTGACAACCCCCTACAGTACGTTGACGTTGACACCCCTACAGTACGTTGACAACCCCTACCGTTGACAACCCTACATTGCGTTGACAACCCCCTACAGTACGTTGACAACCCCCTACAGTACGTTGACAACCCCCTACAGTACGTTGACAACCCCCTACAGTACGTTTACAACCCCCATAGTACATTGACAACCCCCAGAATACAATATTTATTAATCCTCTGAGAACAATGCAATCAATTAATCATACTCAAGAGAATAAGGCTCCGTATTTTTAGAGTAGACAACGTACTCAAGGGATTGTCATTGTACTCGATGGGATAGACTTACTGTACTCCAGGGGATGTATTCATTGTACTCAGTGAAGGGGAATATTATTAACAATTTAGTTGGTGACGAGTTTCAAGTGTTAGGTTGAAGGTAATATTCGAATGGGAGTATTTATTGCCTTGAAGGATGAGATTTGCAGGTGTCTTAATTTCTTCTCAAGTTGCACCTCCCCATCTCTCCCTCCCCTTACCATCCTCCTAACTTCCCTCCCTCTGATATCTCTCCCTTTTACGGTTAGCACCACACGTACACCCATTCCACCTCATCCCTGACCCACCCCCCCTCCCCCACACACACACCCACCTCCCCCACCTCCCCACACACACACACCCCCACACCCCCCCTCACCCCTCCCCACACACACACACACCTCCCCACACACCTCCCCACACACACACCCCTCCCCACACCTCCCCACACCTCCTCCCCACACACACACCACACCTCCCCACACACACACACACACCCCCACACACCCTCCCCCACACACACCTCTCACCCCCCCACACCTCCCCACCTCCCCACACACCTCCCCCCACACACCTCCCCACACCTCCCACACACCCCCCACCTCCCCTCCTCCCCCACACACACCTCCCCCCACCTCCCACCCCCCCACACCTCCCACACCTCCCCACACCTCCACCTCCCCCACACACACATCCCCACACACACCTCCCACCTCCCACCTCCTCCCCCACCTCCCCACACACACCCCACCTCCCCACACCTCCCCACCTCCCCACACACCTCCCCACACCTCCCCACACACACACACCCTCCCCACACATCTGTACACCTCCCCCAACCTCCCCCAACACACACCCACACACACCTGCCCCACACACACACACCTGCCCCCCCACACACATCTTCCCCCAACACACACCTCCCCAACACTCTGTACACACCTCCCCCAACACACACCTCCCCCAACACACACCCACACACACACACCTGCTTTACACACACACACCTGCCCCACACATCTTCCCCCAACACACATCTTCCCCAACACACACCTCCCCCAACACACACCACACACACACACACACACCTGCCCCCCACACATCTTCCCCCAACACACATCTTCCCCCAACACACACCTCCCCAACACACCCTCCCCCCAACAACACTTTACCCACCCCCACCCCCCACCCCACACCCCCCCCACCCCCCCCCCCCACCCCCCCCCCCCACACCCCGCCCCACCCCCCGCCCCACACACTACCTTTGTTGTGTTTTTTGTCTTTGCCCTTTTTGGCCGTGACAAGCATTGTGCCTCGTCATACTACAGCTCCCCGGTCCTGATTCCCTCCTCTCCCCTTCCTACCCTCCCTCTCTACCCCCCTTTCTTCTGACTCGCCCTCCTTCACTCAGCCCAACCCCTCCCTACCTCCCTCCGTCGAATATCCACATCTGTCAGACACCCTCCCCCCCTCCCACATCCAACCTCCCCCCTCCTCATCCCTCCAACCTCCCCCCTCCTCATCCCTCCCTCTCCTCCCGGTTACTATAGCGAGAAGCCAGTAGTAACAGTGTGAAAGAAGTTTAACAAAGGCCGGTGGCAGCCTTGGTCGAAGGGTCGTTCACCTGGATGTTGCAAGGGGAGGCAGCAACTTTACTATCCGGTAAACCCGTTGTCATCACTAGTGCCACCCAACACACACTGACACCCCCTCCTCCTCTTTCCCCAAACCCGTTTGTGTCTGGCTAATGAGCACTGGGTTATTATACTGTATTTATTTGTCTCTGAACACACACACACGAGAGAGAGAGAGAGTCGTCATTTTGTTTTGGTGATTACAGGTGAAAGAGTAATTTATGACTCAGTGTCGCAAGTTGTCACACTCCTGTCCGTACTGTGCGTGTGTGTGTCGGTACCAACCAGGCTCAGCCAGCCATGGACACACACACGCACAGGTAGATATAATATAAACAGTTCAGTAGAAGTGAGAGTTGAGACAAAAGGCGTCATTGTAGATAGCGACTGTGTGACCCCCTCAGCGTGTGACAGGTGGGAGGGGAGGAGCAGCTCACCTGTCCATTCATTAACCTCTCCCGAGACCCACCTGTGTAACTCTTTCTAATAACACAAACATTTATTTTTTTCTCTTTGTTTAGGTTTTATTAATGAGAAGCTAATATTTAGTAGTCCAGTTTGCATTTAGGGGGGTGGAGGGTGGTACTGTAAGATGTAGCAGTATTTGAAGTACTGGTAGTAGTGATAGTGGTCCTTGTAGTAGTAATTACATACCGTGTTATTGTGATAGATCGTGTATGTAATTATGCGTAATGTATTGTCAGTATGTGTGGGGGACAGGGCGATGTATTTTTGTGGATACTGTGAGGTGGATATATTGTGGGTAGTGGATTATTGATTGTAAACTCTCTCTCTCTCTCTCTCTAACAAATAATGTTTAATAAAGATTGTAAAGTATATTTGGCTGTCATCTGATGTATGTGTGTTTGGGGTAAACTTGAGGTAAGGTGGAAGAGGAGGAGGAAGAGTGGAGGCGGTGGTAAGCGTTATTAGGTGTGGGTGGTGTTAGGTGTGGCGAAGGAAACTCACCCACTCCATCCACTCCATCCACGCAACCAAACCAATCCTAGTGGGTGGCAGTTACGGCACTTCCCCACACCCTGGCCCACCCACACCCTACCCAAACACCCTTACACACCCCACCCACTACCACCCAGGTCACTAAACTGGTTCTCTTGCTTGCTATGTTATTACATATCCTTCCTACCTGACACCTCCACCCCAGCGTGTCTTAACTTGTCTTGACGTGTTTTCCAGTGACTCGTTTCAACTTGTTTGGGTGTGGTGCGT